GCTATGATTAATTAATGATGAACATGTCATTTTCATTTATGATCAATTTAATCACGATTCTTCTCTTAATCTTGGAGAGTAATTATACGTTCTTATTTCTCAAAGTAGAGCCCAATAGTGTTATAAAAATACTCGCAGAATTCCAGTAAGATATCATTAATCATTTCTAAGATATTATTTCTGGGCTTAACAAGGTCACAACAGTTAGTTTAGTGATTTTTTTTTTTAATAAATTCAACGTTTTATAAAATATACAATTATGCTGTTACACGATTCGGGCAGCTTAATCTAATAATTGGCGATTTTTGTTTTTCATGCTTTGGACAATTTTAGTGTTACACCCGTTATATATATATATATATATATATATATATATATATATATATATATATATATATATATATATTACCAATATAAACGTTAATCTTAGTGGGTACACGTTTTTGAGTTGATATCCCCGTTTTTTTTAAACAGTGCAATCAATAACAACCTGTCTAACCCCACCCACTTGACTTTCGTATTTTTAACATATTGCGATAACACTGTTCAATGCAGTAGGGTATTTTCTCGATAGATGACATTAATCACAAGGCTATTGTGTCAACAGGTGAAATGCATGTACAACACTCACACTGGACACTTTGGCCAACGCTGCCCAACAAATAGTTCGCTGTACTAATAAATGTCTGGAAACTAATGGCCACCCTTTTGAGCATTTATTGTGAGTCGATCTTGCGAGTCCAAAGGTGTCTTGTATTATTTTCTGAATGTCTGATTAAATTTAGCATTATAATAATCTCTATAGAAGTTTTTTCTTTACTGAAGTTTGTATACATTTTGGGACGGACTCTGTATATATATATATATATATATATATATATATATATATATATATATATATATATATATATATATAAGTAATTATACTCGTCTGGAAAATGAACAAGCCAATACCCAAGGAAAAACAAGGCTTAATAAAGAAAGAACTAAGAACATGTAATTGAGGCGAAAACAATCGTCCAGAGTCCAAAGAAGAAAAACCCCAACACGAGTAAAGCAAAAATAACTAAATAAAGTGCTCAATACACTAAGTAAAAGCAAATCTGACTATGAACATAAAGAGCCAGGCAAACGGTAAATATCTTTATGCTCTTTTGTACAACACTCAACACAAGAATCGTAAAGATAGACCCTTTGAATAGTAATTTTTACAATATGAAATGATGTGTTGAAAAGTCACCTACTGAAAAACCATATATATATATATATATATATATATATATATATATATATATATATATATATATATATAACTATGAACCTAAAGAGGCAGGCAAACCTACCTAGGTTTCACCTACGCGCATCATCAGTTTCTTGCTCAAGACATTAAAAATGAAAAGAATGTTTATTATTAAGGGAAATTCACCCAAATGCAGAAAGTATTCACCCATAAAATATAATAACACTCATCTAGCCATTATTTTAAATTCCAAAAAATTTAAACGGCCGAAAATATTTCACTCGTTAGCGTATAAAGATTTAAAAAAAAACAAAAAAAAACAGGTCGATAAAAAATTTAGCCAATCTAATTTTCGTCCCTTGAGATCCCAGGTTTCCTCACTACCTCCCTTAAATTTTGTTGTCATCTAATAATTTTCTCACCATTATATTTATCACTAAATATATTCTTCAGTATCTTCCATAGTTAAATTTCTATTTCTGGCTAAAATTCCATTCTTTTAAAATTTCTCATGTGGGAGCCAAGTGCCTCCCGTTTTATGAAATTACCGATTTAGAATTATAAATTGAATCGTATAGAAATCTTAGACTCTTTGACTTTTGCACGAAGAGAAACCGAAGAACAGATTTTCGCTGTATATTTCAGATCGTGTACACGTTTGTCTTTGAACGGCGAGAGAATGTCACAATTCCAACGCCAAAAAATTGCATTGAATTCCGAAACCTTAGGTATTTCATCTTGATTTCAATTTCTTCCCATTTATGAGACCTTGTTTTAAAAATCTGGATAGGAAAATCTGGAATGAATGATGTTATTAACTAATTCTGAATGGAATTTAAATCAAATAAACAAAAAAAAAAAATCTTGTTTCAGTCATGTTTTCCCGCGTTTTTCTTCTTCATCAGCTGTTTACTGAGAACCGTCTTATAACAGAGGCACAAATCCTTCCCGTATGTATAAATTTTCAAACGATAAACAAATGGGATTTGTAGAAAATAATGAGATTCTTTCAAAGTAATTAAGCGAAAACAGTGTAGATATTAGTAGAAAGTAAATTTGCTTAGAGGAACCTTTGAAAGAGATGATTATAACAAGTTCCACGTAGGAGTTGAATTTATACACCTGTCTTCAACGCCGGCTAGTAAATCCCTGTTGCAGACGCCTGCTCAGGCACATTTTCGTTTGTTCAAGACCTACAGAGCACGCTTGTGGTTTATGCAGCACCTATGATGAGCTGACCTTAGTTACAGTTTCTGGGAGAGAGCGCATTATCTGGTGTGATCAACAGTCTGAACAAGACCAGTACCCTCAAACCCTCAGTCACGATGACTTGCGACTTCGTGCTCGCACAACTGTGGACAGCTCGCAGACTGTTCCTTCTAGCCAATTTCGCTCAAAAGGCTAGGCTAACTGATCTTTTTTTTTTAAGCATCAGCTTAAAGTCAAGATCAGTACGGAAGACGGCGGCTCCTTCTATCAGAATTCAACAAAAGGTGGGTGAGTGTTGCGCGTCTGTGTCGAGTAAGAGGGAGTGGCACTTTGATGCCGGTTCGGTTTTAGGAATTGTTCTATTTGGATTGAACATTGGTAACCCAGTCCAAAATTAGGTTAGTTTACGGTTGTTTATTGTCTTTAGTTACTTATTTCAAAGTGTACTCAGCTAGGAGATGTATGCTCATTGCCTTTTTTTTTTAAATTTCTGCCTCAAAGTTCTTTAGTTAAATTCCCTTTCCCCCGGTAGGTAACAAGAGATGTCAATTCTCTGGTGGATGCGGGACGCATTTCGTTTTTCGGGTGTGATTTTCGTAATTGTTGTTGTGTTTGAATGAATGTATGCTTGACTGAGTTAGTGGACAAATGAGTGTTTTAAATTATTAAAGTCCTGCATTAAAGTCGGTCAGTTAACTGATATTTCAGTCACAGCTAAGAATTTGGTTGGGGGGGATTTATTACTGACATTATTTTATTTAGCTTCGTTTAAATATCTGATTACATATTTTAAGTACTCTTTGGGGCTTAGATTTTTAATTTATTTTTAAATTTTTTTTTTCCAACCCCGGCGTATAAGAATTGTACATATGAGAGACTTCATGGAGATTCTGAACTTTTATGATGAATATTAGAAGAATGGCAATAAGAATGAGTTGTTTTGGTGTAAGGAATATTGTGGTATGTTTGAGTCGGTGATTGTGGCTAGATAAGTTTAATTATAAGACAGAAGAAGACCATCTTTTTCCTTATCCCAACTTTTGGTCTTGTACCCTATTTTTGTATTTTATTACAAAATAAATATAACTTTCATCTATGGTGTCTAGACTTTATGAATTTAAGTGCAGTACTAGATTGGCGGAAAGGTCTCATTATCTTAAATAGATATTACCGTAAGTTCTATGTTAACATTTTCTTCTATCGCACTTCTTACTTGTGGAACTCTTTTCCATCTTCTTGCTTCCCAGTCAACTTCGCTCTTCAAAAACTGAAATGTAAGTTCAGTCGTTATTTTCTATCTTCTTGATTCGTCTTTTATTGTTCTGTTTTCTTTAATAGTGTCTTTTTTCTCATATTATCTAACACACAGTAACCCTTTGCGTCTTAGTGGCTTTATTGCCTTTTTTGGTTGAAAATATTTAAAAAAATATGAATGAAAATTTTAGAGATCGCATTAATTATATTGATTTCAGTTATTTCTTTCGAAATTTTACAAGTTTGAAAATGTAACATTTATACGCAGATAGAGAATTTAAAATGCTTCAACTGATTTTACATATAGAGTTTTGACCAGAATTATTCGCCCCTACTGAATATTTTCATATTTTCTAGGGA